CTGAGTCATGAGCTTAGGAATCTTGAGTTACAGATCATGTCTTTTGTCCCAGATTAAGCACATTTGATCATTAATTTGAAAGAACAAAGGAGACTGCTCCATTTTGGACAAAATGGAGTCATTCTGGTCTCACATTTGCAAAATGGAGTCACTTTTGGTCTCACAGTTCCGCCGCCTGCTGCACAAGCGCAAGGACCCGAGTTCGATCCCCAATACCAAAAAAAAAAAAGAGCTGGGAAGTAGCTCAGGCGTAGAGCAAGTGCCTAGCTTTACCTGAGTTCCACCCCCTGCACCACACACACACACACACACACACACACACACACACACACAGCATACAAATCTACGAACAAGCAAAAAAGAAAAATACCACAGTATGTTGGAAAATCACTGGAATACGGTTACTCAGTAGTCCGATATGATTTAGAAACTCACAATGCCCTTTTCCATAGGGAAGAGAGAGAATGGAGAAGAGTAAATAATTTTTCAGGGAACTCCATAGCCTTGGAGAGCACACAGTGGCCCGAGACGGAGTCTGGCCTGCAGAACAGACAATGGATGGAAAGGCTTCTCTATGGGACCGAAAGAGAGGCAGTCGCATGTGACAGCATCTGTGCAGCTGTGTCAACAGATTCAGTCTTTCTTCCTTCTAAATGAGTTCAGTTAATGAAAACTGGGGAAAGACACCAGAGGTAATCACTTCTTCTTTGGCAGGCTGGGACTTCAGGCAGATAAGGGAACTTTGCAAAATGCCTCTCCTGGCACTTTGGGGGCAGCTGATGGGGAGACAAGGTCAGAGGGACCTTGATTCCGAGCCTGCTTTCCAAAGGCCTTTTAACTTCCTTCAGAGCTAATTACTCAGCATGCAAACAAACCGAAACACCACTATATTTCAGGGTATCATTCCCTGAGCCCCAACATAAGCCACAAGGCAGCAGACATGCGCAGACACGCAGGGCAAGCCAGCAGCCACAGGGCATCAGATCCTCAGGGGTCAGAGCCACCAGCCTCTCTTCTCCCAGGGGGCTCTAGGCTGACAGGACCCCCTCCCACAAGGTCACTATCACAGCAGAGGTGGGAGGGGCACCGCCTTCTGGGACCCTGGGCTGTCCCTGTCAGGCCACCTTGAGACAAATGCACAAACCCTGTTTCTTCCGCAAGAGAACCCCACCCCTGTGCTCCAGCCCCTCCCCCAGGGTTTCTCCACCCTGCCTGTCAGGCAATCGACACGCCCACCCCCAGCTACATCAGTCACCAAACTTTCTGGAAACTGAAAAACAAGCAAACAAAGCAGCCCTGAGGTCCTGGAAGGAGCCCTGCAGCTGCAGCCAAGTCACCCTGCAGGTGGAATTTAAAGCTGGGAGGGAGCACTGAGCAATAGGACCTCAGCTTGAGGCTCCTGTGGCAAAATGCGGAGCGCCCCTGATGGCCCTCCGCACACAGCCCCGCGCCAGGTGCCATTGGAGGCCGAGGGCCCACCATTCCCTCCTGACTCACAGCAGGTGTGGTGGGCATTCATTCCCAGCTCCTTCTCCTCTCACAGCAGATCCATCAGCAAATTCCGGTGGCTTCACCTTCAAAACTTCACACACATGTGGAGCTAGGCACAGTGGCCCACCCCCCCAATTCCAGAACTCTGGGAAGCTGAGGCGGGAGACCAGATAACAGAGTGAGATCCATCTTAAAACAAAAACTTCAAAAAGGGCTGGAGATGTAGCTCAGTGCAAAGGCCCTGGGTTCTGTCCCCAGCACCACAGATGCTGAGTCCAACCCCTTACCACTTCTCTAGTCCAAGCCCGGGCTCTCTTTCTTGCTGGTCACTCAGGGCCCAGCCCTCAGAAGGGCCCGACCTGTGGCTCAGTGCTATGCCGTCACTATCTTGACATTTTTGACAATTCTGGAGTAAAAGTCCTCGTGCTTTAGTTTTGCTCAAGGCCCTGCACATTGTGCAGTTGGCCATGCCTGTTGTCTCTGTTAGAACAGAAGCCCCCTGAGGAGAGGCCCCTGGCCTCTTCCATACACCACTGAATACAGAATGTATTCACTTATGTATTCTCACCTGACCACACCAGGAAATAAAGTCCCAACTTAAAATATTTCACCCTATGTTTCAACTTCACAGTGGTGCTAAGGAGACACACATGCACTAAAACTCTGGTTTCAGACTTTGAATTTGGGTCCTCTCCTGAGCTAGCAATCGTTGGATGCTCATCTTGGGTCCCCAGGGCAGCTTTGACCACCCTCAGCAGGCCACCAGTAGGCCACGCAATCACCAGCAGGAGCAACTGAGTCTGCAGCATGCTGCATTGCTGGGACGTTCAGCAGCCGGATGCATTCAATGCGTTTCTGACCGAAGATACTTTCCATGTTCCGCAAGCTCACTGGGGCACACCTCACTGTGAGCCAAGGAATATCTACACTCCTTTACTGGTTGAGCAAATACTATGACCCCTGCTGAGGAACACCCTCCTGGGACCTCAGGGCCTCTCCTTCGTCCAGAAACCTCGGCCGCCAAGATCCTGCTCTGACTCCTTGGCCACAGCCCATTTCCCAGGGCTGGGCCTGAGCTCTGTGGTCCATATGTGTCCACTGCTCCCCTGGCACCTGGCACAGCACTGCACAGCTAGTGGGTACTCAACAAATATCTGTGCAGTGAATAAATCATTTGTTCATCCATGACTCGTGGGGTTTTAGCGGGTGTTGCCAGGCTCTGCATTACTTAAATGCAGGCGGGGGACCGGGAAGGCTCTGCGTTTTGACGAGTGGCACATGGTCTAATAGAATGGTCCCTACCCTCAAGGCTGGGACAACTGTCGGTCTGTGCACTGGGGATTAAAGCCGGGGCCTCTGGACCAAAGCTATCTCCCATTCCTTTTTATTCTTTCCATTTTGAGACAGACTCTGGCCAAGTCACTAAGTTGCCCAATCTAGTCTCAAAGTTGTGATGTTCCTGCCTCTGCTTCCCGGAGTGCTGGAATCATAAGCACAGGCCGCCACTCCTGACTCTGGCTACCTAATGTGTAGATCCCAATATAAAATGGAAATCTTGTGCTCCTGGTTCAAAATGCAAGCAAAAAGCTTTTTCCTTTCTTCGGTGGTCACCTCTTGATCTGCCGTGGCCTTTTAATTTCTTTCATGTCCTAGCCCCTCGGATACAAGGACGCTCTCAGAGTGAGTGCAAACCCTCCTCGGGTCCTGGGGCTTGCACCTCACCCGGGTCCTCCCTCTGTTCATGGCCAGGCCCCAGCAGGGACCAAGGGTGACAGGCGCCACTAGGCTGAGGCAGGAGAAGGCTGAGAACCTGCCCCAGGGGGAATCGGGAAAGTGGGAGGTGTGGGTGGAGATATCAGGTTCCAGGTGAATGGAGGCTCCAGGCCCTTGCATCCCTTCCCCTTTCCATCAGACTTCACTTATGGCCGGCACACAGATTAAAGGGTGCAACCGTCAAAGCCCTCCGGATGGTGCTGCAGGTATTAAGTCCACTCTGGGCCTCCTCCTAAGTACAAGTCCCTGAGCAGCCGAACGCGCCTCACAGCTGTGTTGGATGAGGGTTTCTTCTCCACCTTTCTGCAGTGCCCGCAGCGAGTGGAGCCCAGTGCTGGCTGGGGTGCAGGCAAAGGCTTCTCTCCTTCTCTCCGCAGGAGCTGTGAGGGCCTCCAGCATCTTCCCCATCCTCAGTGTCACCCTGCTGTTCTTCGGCGGGCTCTGCGTGGCAGCCAGCGAGTTCCACCGCAGCAGACACAATGTCATCCTCAGTGCTGGCATCTTCTTTGTCTCTGCAGGTGAGTGTCTTGCACCAGCCCTGAGGTCTTCACAGACATCAGACAGAAGCCAGGAACACTTGGACAAGGAGTTGTTCTTTGGGGTTCCCTGTAGGGAAAGAGCAGGAGAATGTTCTAGGGCTGATAACTCGGAGATTTTCATTAGGATTAAAGATGCTGCTATGCTAGCCTAGGGTGGCATGGAGGAAAGGAACAAACGAGAAGACAGGGTGGCAAGGTTGACAGAGGGACAAGGGGAGAGAGGGAGGCAGAGAGACAGGACAGTGTAGAAAGTGTGACTGAAATACACTGTACAGGTTTAAATTTTTTTTAATTTTTTTACAGGAAAAGACACATTGCATTAAACCCCTCCCCAGTTCTGCCCCTTGCTTCAGACACACCTGCCACTTTCTGGAGCAGCTCTGGAAGTCCCCTTTTGTGGTGTCTTCAGGTTGTGCTCTTGTGGCTGCCTTGATGTCCCAAACTGATTCAAAACATTTGCTATTCGTGGTAATTTTGACTTTGGGGGAAAACCGGAAGTCCCGTGGTACCATATTCAGTGAATATGGTGGATGAGGACCCAGCGCCGTGTTTATAGAGCCTGCCCTTCCTTTAGATGGCACTCAGCAGCAGCATTCACAGTATTTTCGATCACACCTATTAATTACAGATGAGAAAGGATTTCCAGAGAGGCTTTAAAAGTGGCGGGAACAATAGGACAAGTATGTTTGAAGCTAAGAAAGGATCTTGAGGGGGATTAATGGCAATATGCCTTTCACTGTAATAATTTTGGAAAAAAAAAGATAAACATTCACCATATATTTTCAACATACCTCATATGTACTTGCACGTATATGAAAGGTGGTCACCCAAGGAATATGGGAGCAAGAGATGAATCCGGTGTATTTGAAGGAGCTCAGCCTCCAGTTCACTTGGGCTTGATACACACGATCCCTGGTCCTTCGAGAAATGTGTTTATCAAGTAACTATTGTTCCCAGCTTTGCAAATGACTCAAGTCCTCATATCCTTCCAACATCTTCTAGAACAAGTTAAGGCCCAGCAGCCCCACATGCTCTGGAGCCAGCCTTACAATCAATAGCAGCTCTGATTTGAGGAGCCTGGGATCTGATCCTACTGACAAGGGGACAACAAAAGGGTTCTATTCTCTGCCTTTTCTCTTCTTCCTTTCTCCGGGCTTCCCTCCTTTCTTTCATCTCTGTACCAGCTCTTCCCATACCACCCCTCTCTAGGCAGATTCACGCCTTCCGGATTAAATCGCTTAGAAAAGCAAAGAACAAGGCAAGGATAGGGTGGGTCGGGGCACGACTCCTTGGCGATGGCCCTCGGACTCTGCACACTACAGCAATCACCCCCTCATCCAGGAGGGATTCATCCCAAGATGCCCAGCGGATGCCTGAAACTGGGGGTCACACCAGACAAGGAAGAAAGGAAAAAGGAAGGGGGGGGAGACAGGAGGGAGAGAGGGAGGGAATATTTTTCCCTATAAATACATACCTACAATTAAGTTTAATTTACTAGTTAGGCAGAATAAGAGATTAAAAACAATAAATAATAAAATAGAAGCATGGTAACAATATACTGAAACAGAAGTTATTTTAAGCTTATGAATTGTTTCTCTCTGGAATTTTCAGTGTACTATTTTCAGATGATGGTTGAGCCCAGGGAGTGGAGAGCATGGTCCCTGAGCCCCAGGCGGGGCATGTTGAGTGGGAGCGATGGAGGGGCACTGCGGGCCGGGATAAGACAGGCCAACCTCCTGGATTTGAATCCCGGCTCCACCCTTTTGATAGCAAAATGTTACCAATTCCCGAAACTTGGTTTTCTCCACTGTAACAGGGCCAACAACAACAGTATCAACTTCGTAAGGTTGTTGGAAAGAAACTGGATATAAAAAAACAGACTGTTACTTTCTAATACTGCAAAAGCAGCAACAATACAGTTCCAAAGTCTGGGACCCAGTGTCCCGGTCCCCTGTGAGAACTTGCTGGGGCCCCTTCGCCTCTGGGAAACGAGACACATCCAGCTGAGCCTCTGGGAAGCCGTCATCTTCCCCCGAGACGTGGTCAGCCCCAACAGAGGCGTGGTCAGCCCCAACAGACGGGGCCTCTGACCTCACTCTGTGTGGACAGCTGTAACGCCTGGTGAGCCCAGGTCCTCGGAGGCGCGTTGCTGCCACTGCTGGTCCATCCTGGCTCTGCCTGACCCAGCGGACCAGTACCAGTGTGGCGCTGATGTGACAGCTTCCTGGGAACTAGCGATCACGATTTTGGCCCCCAAGGAAGAGTGCCACCAGAGAGAGGTGTGAAATGGCAGGGGTGGGGAAGCCCGAGGGAAGCCAGGAGCTTGGGGGCTACTCCCAAACCTCATCTCCCCCGGGAACCCCAAGAGCCCCATTTCCCTACCTATCAAGTGAAGGAAATGAAGAGTTCCCCACTCCCTAAGGCTCTTTGCTGTTCAGCTGCCCTGCAGTCTGTGGTCTCAGGGAAGTAATCGGTAGCCTTTCTAAAGCACTTACTGTGCACCAAGCCCTCTGTGTGGTGCTCCAAAGCAGGCACTATGAAGCCAGGCCACCCCGTGCAAAGCTTGGCTCCTCTACTTCCCTGTTGTGTAACCTTGGACAACTTATTTAACCTCTCTAAGCCTCAGTGTCCTGCTCTGGAAAATGGGCATAATGATGGCCCCACATCTTGAGGCCATGAGGATTAAGTGAGTCAGTGTATAGAAGTGCACCAAGAACAGTCCTGGGCATCTGGCCTATGCTCCGTACATAGTGGCTGTCATTCTGTGTACACTGCACATTTAGTGTTCACGTAAATGCGAGTCCTTCCCTCACACGACAAATCTGCACTCGGCTCCTGCTGAGCATCAGGCCCTGGACTAGGAGTTGGGGCTACAGCCATGAACAAGGCCGGGCCCTGCCCTCGGGGAATTTGCAATCTGATGGGTGGGACAAAATGACTTCTCCTCTTATTCTGGAGCTTGTTACTGAAAAGTTTCCCCCAGTTCTGAGAATGCAGGGTGCTTTACCTCTGAGCTCCAACTCCAGACTGTTTTAGGTTTTATTTTGAGACAGAGTCTTGCTACGTTGCCCCAGCTAACCTCTAACTTGTGATCCTCCTGCCTCAGCCTTCCCAGTAGCTGGAATGACAGGCATGCACCACCACACCGAGCTTTGTTACTGAAATCCAAACCTACTGTGACTTCCAATTCCACTTTGACCCTTTCCCATCTGTGTCAATACAGGAAATTACTTATTTCTGCATCAGTAAGAAAGGGGTCCTTCTCTTAAAAGCAGACTGCTGCAATGACTCGTTGAAAGTGCCGATAAGCCAGATGTGGTAGCGCACAGCTGTGATCCCAGCACTCTGGGGGGCTGAGGTGGGAGGGTCTCAAGCTTGCGCCCAGCAAAGGCCATGAGTTCGATCCTCAGAACTGCCAAACAAAACAAAGAGAGAGAGAAAAGAAAAGGAAAAAAAGAATAAGGGAGGAAAGGAAAGGGAGAGAAGGAAGGAAGAGAAAAAGAGAAGGAAGGAAGAAAAGAAGGAAGGGGTACGTATAAAAACTTCGCAGCACCTGGCACATAGTAAGTGCCTTGTGAATGTCTGGCGACTCCCATGGCTTCTGCCTCTTTCACCTAGTTTGACATCTGAGTGTCTCTTTGAACTTCTTTTTCTTCCTCCCCAACTCCATCCAGGAAGACCTCTTTTTGAGGCTTTCTAAACCTTGCCACCAAAATTTCCCTGCTAGCAAAGGGGGAAAACATGGCCCTGGGAAATCAGAGGACATCACTAGATGCTGCCTTCAGTGAGCTGAAATGTCTTTGAAGTCAGCCTCCCATTTAACTTAAAAATTCATGTGAATTCTACTTTCTCCACCTTATTATATCTGTGTGCATTTTAATATAAAAGAATGTGTCTTCCTCACTAATCTTCCAGCCAAATTGACACTCTCGCAAGAGAAGCTGTTTTTCATCCTCTGGTTTCCTGCAGCCTGGCAGTGTGGGAGGTGCCAACTTCCATATTGAGAAGTAGCTCAGTGATTAGAACTTGCTGTCTACCTGCAGAATGCCTGGGCTGGGTAATGCCAAGAGGAAAGAGGCAGAAGCAGGCCCTGGCCCTGGCTGTTGCGGGGAAATCCTAGACGGAGAATGACCAGAGTCATATTCAAAATATTAGCACCCTAATGTGGGTGTATCCACCAATCAGGATGGTAGCACTGAGGCAGATGCTGGGGCCCTGCTATGCCAAGCCTTAATTTTTTAGTTGCTTGACTTTGGGGAGATCTTAGGGACCCCCAGGATGTTTAGTACCTTCAAGGACTGGAGGGAGGACTCAGGAGGCTCCTGGAAATGGTTACTTGTCAACTGGTGTTGGGAACTACAATGAAAGACAGTCTTCATTTAAGGCCACCCTACAGGTAGCCTAAACATGGAGCTGAGGAGAGGCTGGCTGGTGTGCCAACCTCCCTGAGTCATTTTGTTGGCACCAAACCCTGGATAAGATCCTTGAAGCAAAGGGACAAAAAGATATTTCCCTGCTGAAGCAATAATGTGAAGAAGGTGGTCAAAGATGAGCTTAGCCCTCAGAATGTACTGCTCCTTCTCCCATTCTCTAGGGAATCCCTTCCTCTCTGGGGAGCCGAGCCGCTATTCCCAGTGCTACTCTGTTGGCACTTGGGGAAACTAAGTCTGCAGCCCTTCTCTACTGGGGATAACAGCTTTGTGCTCTCCAATCTGTAACCTTCCAACAACAAACAGCTGATCTAAAGCATTGTCTTATTCAGGGCAGATAAAAAGACTTAGGCCAGGGCAGGATGGCACATTCCTGTAATTGTAAATACTCGGGAGACTGGGGCAGGAGGATGCCAAGTTTGAGGCCAGCCTGGCCAAATTAGCAAGATCCTCTATCAAAAAAATAAATAAATAAATAAATAGAATAAAAATGGCTGGTGGTGTAGGTCAGTGTTCACCAGTTCAATCTCCAGTACGACAAAAATAAAAGTTGGTAAGCTGCTATCCCTTCCCCCTGGGTTCACTAGTTCCCCTTCAGAACCCTAAATGTACCTCCAGGGAACTCCATCAGTAATTCCATCTCAACGTCTCCAAATATCCCCCTTCTCTAAACCTGGTCTCACTGCTGCCTCTTACTTTAGCTTAAGTTGCCACTGGCCTCCAATCACCCCAGCTGAGACCCAAACAAATTATTCTCAATTCCTTCTCTGGCTCTCTAGTTCACAGCTTTTCTCTCTTGGCTCAATTTTCAGGATCCATCTCAAATGTCACCTCATTTTCAAAGCAAAGTGCTCAGCTTCTCTCTCCTTTTGCTCCTGAGTCATGCGGCATATGTCTCCCATGGAGTCATAACTGTATTGCGCTCTAATAGCATTGCATGTCTGTCTCTCCCACGAATGGTGAGGAATTCAAGGGCGGAGACCTGTGCCTTCACCTTGCCGTCTTCATGGCTTAGGGCCAGAGATGAAGTGTTGATGGAATGGATTTCTTCTAAAGGAAAACAGATGCGTTCAGCGTTTGACAGCACTTGCCACTGGAGTGGGACTTATGCTTTAGCTGAACGTACACTGCTCAGGACTGAGGAGAGGAATTCTTCACTCTCCAAGAGGCAGGCTTTGCAAGGGGAGCTTGGGGTGAGATTTCCCAACCATAATCTGTTCGTTCTCCTCTCTCGCTGTTACCTCCATGTTCTCTATATTTCAAGAGGAAAAGTGAAAGTTGCCTCTGAGGTTTATAAAAACGTGTGTTTTCTGTTCTCTTAGGGCTAAGCAACATTATCGGCATCATAGTTTATATCTCAGCCAATGCAGGAGACCCAGGCCAGCGGGACTCCAAGAAGAGCTACTCCTATGGCTGGTCCTTCTATTTCGGCGCCTTCTCTTTCATCATCGCGGAGATCGTGGGTGTGGTGGCTGTGCACATCTACATTGAAAAACATCAGCAGCTACGAGCCAAATCCCACTCAGAGCTCCTGAAGAAATCTACCTTTGCCCGCCTTCCACCCTACAGGTATAGATTCCGGAGGCGGTCGAGTTCGCGCTCCACTGAGCCTAGGTCCCGAGACCTGTCCCCCATCAGCAAAGGCTTCCACACCATCCCCTCTACCGACATCTCCATGTTCACCCTCTCCCGGGACCCCTCCAAGATCACCATGGGGACCCTCCTCAACTCTGACCGGGACCACGCTTTTCTACAGTTCCACAACTCCACATCCAAAGAGTTCAAAGAGTCGCTGCATAACAACCCAGCCAACAGACGCACCACGCCTGTCTGAGCTGACCTCTGACCTCTGACCTCTGCCCCACGCCCAGCACAGCCTTGAGGGAAGTGTCCACAGATGTCTCTAAGGTTGCATGGCATGGTCCTCGTGATGGTATTACTTCTTGCAAAGAATGAAACCAAATGGACTCAGCTCTCTCCCACATTGGTCCTGGACCCCAAGCCCCACACCTCCATTCTTTCTAACTTTTCAAGCCAGTCCCTTAAATGTCATTCCTCCCTCTGTGTATCTGTGCTAGATGTTTTCCTTTCTTCCTTCTCTGCTGGAAGGACCTCCACATTCTTCCCTCCTTGGAAGAGGACTTTACTAGAAGTCACCGGTGATGGCCGGGGGGAGTTTCCAAATCCCCATCAGGGCACGTGCATTGCTGTTCCCATCATCCACCCACACGGATCCTCAGGAAACCGACCAGCCAGGTGGCCCTGAGGGAGGCATTCACCTTTATGTGTTAGAAAACATGACCAGAAATCAAAGATGTCAAGCCCCGAAGCAGCTAATGTAATAAGCACTCATGTTATTAAAGGTTTTGCCTTGTTGTAACCATCTGAACTGGAGGTGTTTTGTTCTTTCTGGGTATTTCCTCTACAGACTTCCCCCAAACTGGCTTGCTTCTGTCGTTGGAAGCTGACCTTGGCTCATCCACACTCTAGCCACTAGCAAAAGCCACTGCTTTTATCTCTTCAGACCAGAAACTTGCATCCCCGGAGGGAGGGGACCCAAGACATACAAGTACTGGCATTCAAGTATGACTGGTGCATGGTGACTCTAGTCCCCTGGGCGTCAAGCCTCAGTCTCCTCTTCTGTAAAATGGAGCATGATAACAATTCTCTACTCTGAGTTAGGTGGTTTAAATAAAATGGCATGTATAAAATGATTAGCCTATCATAAATAATCAGTTTTATTTTTAAAAAATTTAGATGATTCTAGTAGAGTGAACATTATATTATTAGTCAGCTCTCATTTCTATGACAAAATATCATAGGTTAAGCAACTGACATTTACTTCTCATGGTTCTGGAGGCTAGAGAGTCCAAGATCGGGGTGCTGGAAGATTCTGCTTCAGGCAGGAGCTGCTTTCCTGGCTGATGGACAGCTGCTTTTTGCTGTAACTGATCTCTCTTGTTATAAAGCCATGAATGCCATCACAGGGGCCCCTCTCATGACCACATCTAACCCTAATTATCTCCCAAAAGCCCCAGCTCCCAGTAACATCCCACTGAGAGTTAGGGCTTCCACATGTGAATATGAGGGCGCAGTAGGCAGGGAGAGAACGTAGTCTGCAGCGATATTACTGCAGCACCATAAAAGCCAAACAGGGGTTATGCTTTCTGGAAGGAGGCAAGGAACGCACTTCACGCAGGTTCTGAGAACGCTGGGAAGAGAGGGCAGAAGACAGCTGAAGACCTGATATTGGGAGCATGGGAGATGTGTCCCTTCAGCCCTTCCTAGGGCGTGCTTAGCATTTCAGACATGGCAGGAGCAGGGTTGTCGTCCTGAGAGCTCGTGGTTCCCTCCCTCCTGGTACCATGCGCTGTTAAGCCGTTTGATCCTCCCAGTCAACCCTACGGAAACAGTATTACCAATATCCTCCCTGACCAGCCTAGAAACAAACCAGGGCTGTGTGCCTTGCTCTGGTCTCACCCCCATTACGGGATGGAAACCCTGGGAAACTAGGAATGTGCCCACATTCACAGTGAATTTTCTGATAAAGGCCACACTAGGAACAATTATTTGGCTTAACAACTAAGGGTCATTACAAGCAAATGACCCTCATATACATCAATTTATCCCATTTAACCCTCAAAACTACCCCATGCAGTAGGAATTACCTTTTCCAATTGGCAGGCAAAGAAACACAGGCTCAAAGAGAGTAAGCATATTAGCAGCTAATAAGCACAGCCACATTTCATATCCAAGCGTTGGCTTCCTACACAGAGTAGCTTCCCATGATGCTGGCATTTTCCAAACCTTGGTCACCTGAGTACAAGTTCTATAAGGTTCTTCTATCCACACTCTACATCGACAATTACAGACGTAATATTTTCTTTATATTGCCGCATTTTTTCCCTTCAATAAATACATGTTGAAGGATAATTCTATAATACCAGTGCTATAAAAAGAAAGCTGGAATTATTTGCATAAGCAAATGGTAACTGGAGAGATAAATACAGTAAAAACAAAAACAGTCTTGCTATATTCTAGCTGCTGCTTGTCCTAAGCTGAAGGCAGGCTTTGTCCAAAGGATATAACCGAAGTGTGAGAGAGGTGTTAAAGATAGTCTAACACCGAAAGAAGATGCTTCCCTTGGCTCATCAGAGGACAGAGGAGAACTGGAAAGGGAATTCTTTTCTTACCATGCAATTCACCGCTCTGTGTGTCAACTCATCTTCCCCACTCTTGGGGAAAAGTGACTCCAGCCACCCTTGGGGACAGAAAGGTGGGAACGCTGAGGAAATAGTTGAAGTCCTCTTTCAGGAGAAAGAAGCACCCTCAGCCACCCAGGGGAAAGCTGTTTATAAAAGCAAGCAGGGAGCTGCTCCAGGGTGCAGAGACAGGTTCCGGGCCTGGACTAGCTGGGCACTGGCCCTGGAGGCCAAGCGGGAAGACCTTCTACACAGACCAGAGAGCCAAAGGAGAGGGGGCCCTGACCCAGGGAGCACCCCCGCACTGCCAGGCCTGCTCCTGACAGGCTTTCGCATGAGGACTTTGGGGCACCTTTGCTTGAAGACTGAGCACAGTTGGCTAACATCAGTGGTCCCAGCCAGGATCCTGGCCAGTCCTTGTCGTCCCACCCTGTGAAGAGTATTCCACACACCACTCTGTGTGCCAAGCACTGTGCTATGAATGTCACTCGCTTTGTCTCATTTAGTCCTAACCCTTGAAGTAGGTACCATATTATCAAACCCATTATACAAGTGGCAGCACTTGCAAGTAACCGCCAAGGCAGGAGCAGACTCAGGCCCGCCCGCCTCCAAAGCCTCGCCAACAGCTGCCTTTGAGCTTCCTGGCCATGTTTCTCCAATGTCCCTCCCCATCACTGGGTCCTTGGCTCACTCATTTCTGAGCAGCAGCACGCTCGGCCAGCCTCAGAACCAGACCCGTCGGGTCTCTTTCACGCTTCCTTCGTGTCCAGCCCTGAATGGATCTTGTGCCAAGCTAAGCTTCCTCCACGCTAGAGGCGAGAGGCAGCTTAGGGAAACATCATCCGAGCATAAGGACTCTGCAGCAGCATCGCCCAGGTTCAGCCCCCGGCCCTGCAGTTATCAGCCACAAGACCTCTGATGAAATAGTGTCCCCATCCCTCATCTGTAAAATGGGCCAGGGACACTTCCTCCACAGGCTTGTTGTGAGGATTCCTGAGCTTATATTCATAAGGCACGTGGAAAAAAATGTGAAATGGCAACCAGCAGAAAAGAGTTGGTCTTATTATCTAGTACAGTTGTTCGGTCCTATTTGGGTCTGTTCCTGCCCAGACAGTATTTCTCCACCCTGTCCGCAGTCTTCTTCTCTAATCAGACCAGTGCCATATGGTACCCTGGCTACATCACACTCATTCCCAACACTCTGCCTTTGCTAGTGACTCATCCCTGCCTGGAAGGTTTGACCCTGTCCTTTCCAAGTGCCACCCATCCTTCAAGGTCAAGACCGAGTCTCAGGCTTTCCATGAAGGCTTCAGTGAATCCACAGGCCACACAATCTCACTTCGTGGCATTCATTCATTTAGCCAGCCAGCACTTAATATCAAGTGCAGAGGAATATATAGAGGGGTCCCAAATTTTGCTGTGTGGTCAAGGAAGAGAAAATAATATTAAGATCACATCTAAAGTAAAAACTAAAGAAATCTCACTATTGCAAAGGCTCTGAGACTGGGGAGTTGAAAAATAATAAAAGCCAGTGTATCTGGGGCCGAGTGGGATGAGGAGCAGCATCGTGTGATACCAGAAAGACAGCGGGTCCAGGGGATGCAGCACTGCAGCCACGTTAGAGACTCTGGATTTTGACCCAAAGTGTATTCATTTAGGAGCCATTTAAGAGTTTAAATCAGAGGTACATTAGACACAACACATCTTAGTCACTTTCTCCGTGCTGGGACACAACACCCACAACTTAAAGGTGGAGAAGTTTATTTTAGCTCACATTTTGGTCCATAGTTGACTGGCTCTGAGGCAGAAAACCACCGTAGAAGGGTCTTTCCTTAGGAGAGCTCCTCACGTCATTGTGGCCCGGAAGCAGCGAGCTAAGGGAGGAGCCAGGCGGGGAGAGGAACTCTTCCAGGCCTCGCCCCCTGACGCACCTCCAACCAGGCCCCACCTCCTAACAGCCAGTCAGCCGCGTTGCCCCGTGATCCAAGCACTGCCCAGAAGCCCTGCGCATGAGCACATGAGCCTCTTGTGGGCCTCTCGATATAAACCATGACGCAATCTGACACTTATATTCAAAAGGTTAGTAGATTAGGCACCCAGTGCAATTCTAATTTCCTAAACGTTATCTCTGGAACTAGTTTCTGTGTAGCCATGTTCTAGTCATGACTCTCCTCCACCCACAGCTGGTGGAAGAGGTCGCCCTGACAAGGGACCAGTGAATCCAGGGACCCAGAAGGCAATTGCTAGTTGTCTACAGGGGGCAGAGCCAAAAGGATATGCAGGAGCCATGGACCAGCAGCAGTGGACCAAATGCAAGATAAATTTATAAAATCTGTTTGGTGACCCAACGTGCTGGCACAGGCCTGTAATCCCAGAACTCAGGAAGCTGAGTTGGGAGAATCACAAGCTCAAGAATACAGTGAGATTCTATCTCAAAAATGAAGACAAAAACATCTCTTTGGTGAAGAAGAAAATCGTGAAATAGAGTGAAAACTTTCGCTGTAGTTTCTGAAGTCTGGCATTGTGGAGAGCCTGCTGACCTATTCAGCTTCGTTCCGTGCTGTTCTCATCTTGCTTCTTACACTCCAGTCACACTTTCTTCCCTTGTCAGTGCTTTGATCAAATGAAGCATATTTTTGTCTCAGGGCCTTTGCACCTGCCATTCCCACCCCTTGAGATTTCTTCTCTCTCTTTATATGTCTGGTCCTTTATCATCCTTCAGGTCTGAGCTAGCAAGTCACCTCCTTAGAGAGGACTTCTTCACCAATTCTCTAAAAGAGGTGGCCTATATTCTTTACTGTAGTCCATACTTATTTCTTTAATAGCTCGAATTTTTGTAGTATTTTATTGTTGTGTTTTTGTTTACTTAATTTGTTTTTTGTTTGTTATTTGTTTTGTTGTTGTTATTGTTGCAGTGCTGAGGATCAAACCCAGGGCTCTGAAGGGGCTAAGCAAGCACTCTACCTCTGACTCCCACCAATAACTCTTCACTCATTTTACACATTTCCTCCACAAGAACGTAAGTCTTGTGACAGTAGGGCCTTTGGCTGTCTAGTTCTCCACTGTGTCCTATGTGCCTGAAACCTAATGGGTACTCAAACACCTATCAGGAAGGAAGAAAAGAAGAAAGGGAGAAAGGAAGAGAGGAAAGAAGGAAGGAAGACACGCTGGAAGGAAGGGA